TCCTGAAAAACCAAGGCAGAACACTGGGGCTCCTGGCTCTCTGCCGGCCCATTGCTGTCTGTCCCTGCCACAGAAGGCACTACCAAGGAGAAGAAGGTTCCAGATAAAGAGGCGTCGGGACCCAGTAGCTCTACGGAGACCCAGCATCCCGCTAAACGCTCTGCGGACGTGCTGAGCGGCAGGCAGGAATCAAACGTCTCAACTCTCACCAGAACAGACCGGCTGCCACCGAGCCACGCCCTGGGAGCGCTCAGAGTGAGGGGCATGGGACCCCGGGCCAGCCTTGCTCTGGGGGTCTTCAGGACACAGCTGAGATTCTCAGTCGTCTGCCCCCAGAGTTGGAAATTTCAAAGGTTTACGGGTAAAGACAGCTGGCTGCTCCGGTAGGCACACCCCACCCTGGGCACAAAGCTAGCTAAGGGCGGCTCCCCTGGGAGCACAAGGCCAGCTCCCCCACGCACGTAGGTGGTTCGCTTCCATGATCTGCCTTCAGGGACGCACACCGCGAGGGCAGACCCTGGCCGCCCCCTGAGGATCAGTGCTGATTGTCCAGGCCAAGGCCCTTCCGTGCTGGAGCAGCTGACCTCCCCATGAGCAGGTCCTGCTTCCCCCCGAAATGACTGGGCCTCCACGGAGGGACCAGAGCAACCCCCACCTGCCCGGGAGTCTGTCTCCACAAACACCCTGACCCCAACACAGTCTGCCTACAGCCTGCCCTTCGGCAGGCAACCAGCGTTCGGTAGTGACACTGCACCCATGGTTATGCAAAGTTCACCTGGAAACAGACAGGCTTAAAGGATCACACTGTTAGAATCGACCTACGGGGCCGGCGCTGTGACGCAGCGGGTAAGGCTGCTGCCTGCAGTGCCAGCATCCCATATGGGAGCCGGTTTGAGTCCTGGCTCCTCCACTTCCAATCCAGCTCTCTGCTGTGGCCTAGGAAAGCAATAGAAGATGGCCCAAGTACTTGGGTCCCTATACCCACATGGGAAACCAAGAAGAAGCTCCTGGCTCCTGACTTCGGATCGGCACAGCTCTGGCCGTTTCGGCCATCTGGGGAGTGAACCAGAGGATGGAAGACCTCTCTCTCTTTCTCTGTCTCTACCTCTCTCTGTAACTCTTTCAAATAAATAAAAATAAATCTTTTTTTTAAAGAATCTACCTACACTCCTCAGAGGCCATGGATTCTTGCCATCAGGGTTCCCCAAAGACTACTAGCCCTGAACTGGGTAGGCAGGGGTGTGTGTGTGAGAGACAGAGACAGAGACAGAGCACAGGAAGTGGAAGGAGGGAGGAGAGAGGGGAGTTACAGGAAGAGAGGAGGAAACAGAGAGAACAGAGAGGGGGAAAAGCAATGGTGGATGCAGGAGGAAGAGAAAAGAGCAGTGGGTGAGAACAAGGCATTATGGGACAGCATCCCAACCTGGCTGAAGGTGCTGCTTTAGGCCCCCAACGGCTGGGGCTGCTCGCCCGCCACACCCGCAAGCAGGGGTGGTGGCAGAAGGCAGGTGCTGAGGGCCACGCGCAGAGCAGGGAGCAGCACAGCTACTGCTGAATGCCCAGCCCCCCGAGGCCTGGGGTGAAGGTGTCTACAGGCCGAAACTGGGGCTCCGAGGCCACGCTCAGCTCAAGCCCAGCTTCCTGGTGTCTGGGCCCCTCCTCTGACTGCTCAGCGATGCCGTGTCTTTAAGGAATGTTTATGATGACCAGGTGGCTTCTGTTGGTCTGGGGTTATCGGAGTGGTAGTTGCCTTCTGCCCCAAAGCTAGAATTACCTGCCTGGACTCAGAAGTCCCTAAGCAAACCCTGGGGACAACACTGACCAACAAGGTTTTATCTACCGGGGAATCAAAAGCCATCCTGAGTCCCGGATTAGAACCTTGTAGAGCCAGCTGGGTCACTCCCTCTGGCCAGTGAATTCCTTTAGATAAGGGACAGGCAAGGACACCTTGGGCTAGGGGAGGCTGCCCCAGGCTGGGTCCTGCCTTCACCATAGGGGTTTGGCCTCACAAGGCAGCTGAAGGGTGTGGTTTTAGCAGAGCACTACCGAGCTGCTGTCCTGCTGTGCTGCAGTTTTGCACAGGGGCCGTGAGGAAGAGGAAGAGAGCCCACCCCAGATCCCCGTTCTGCTTGTACTGGTTATTGATGGGAACTGCAGACTTCTACAGACAACTGTTGTGTTTGTGTAAAAGAGGTGCACACCCATCTACAGATGCAGGGACAGCCTCTCCATCCCGTACCCCCCACCTGCCTCAGGATCCGTGCACAGGAGGAAGAGCCGGGGTCTGACCCGTGACCCAGACCCACGACCACAGGCGGTGGCATGCGGGAGGCCCGTGTGCACAACAAGCCCAGGGCTGCTCTCCTGCAGGACGAGGTCGCTGAGTTTCTGAGCTGTTGGCCAGTCCCACTCCCAGGCAGGCTCCCTGTGCTGTGGCCCCCCTTTGGCAAGGAACCCATTTCATTCGATGCTGTCTCCCTGTTTGATCCTTGGGAACTTGCCCCAGGCAGCCTGGAGAGAGCAACAGGGAAACTTTGCTTCCTTCTGGCTAGCAGATGCAGACCTGGATGGCAGAGGTGCCGGCTGGTACCCTGGCCTGCCAAGCAGCACGGCCACTGCGGTCCCAGGGCCGGGCAGGGTGGGCCAGCAGAGCACACCTCCCTCTAGGGGGGATCGCAGGAACCTGTCGCCAGTATGACCGCTCCCACAGGAGCTTCTGCCAAGCATCTGTTCTGCTGCTGTGCACAGTCCTGCGCACACAGCGACGCGAAAGCGACTACATCCACAAGGACGCCTTTGTGAGCATGTAGAGCCATGCACGCAGCAGGGAAGCCGGCGTGCCGTCCGCTGGCTCTTTTTCCCATAAAGAACTAAAGAATGCACATCTGCCGGCGCTGTGGCGCAGCGGGTTGAAGCCCTAGCCTGAAGCGCTGGCATCCCACACAGGTGCCGGTTCGAGTCCCGGCTACTTCACTTCCAATCCAGCTCTCTGCTGTGGCCTGGGAAAGCAGTAGAAGATGGCCCAAGTCCTTGGGCCCCTGTACCCGCATGGGAGACCCAGAAGAAGCTCTTGACTCCTGGCTTCAGATCAGCCCAGCTCTGGCCATTGTGGTCATTTGGGGAGTGAACCAGTGGATGGAAGACCTCTCTCTCTCTCCGGTTCTACCTCTGTCTGTAACTCTTTCAAATAAACAAAATAAATATTAAAAAAAAAAGAATGCACATAGTCTGAGAAAGTTGAGTCGTAAGTCACTCCCGGAACTATCTAATCCTAATCCTACCCTCTCACTACACACACACACTTCCCTAATTGCTTTCTCTGGGTGAGTGTGGCTTGCTTCAGGTGGTTTTGTAGCCTCTGGGTGTGATTCATAGGGGGCGAAGGCCGTCACAGGCCGGCATTTGAGCTTTGTTTGCTTTGCTGCCCTGGCACCCCACCTGCCCCACCGCCGTGTGAAACTACCATCACAACGAACACACACTCAGCGCTCTGCAGTCTTCCCTGCCCTCTGATATCTCTTCCCCCCAAGCAGCAATGTGCATTCCTGCAACGTCAACACCATTCCGGGTATCCCAAATCCTGGGCATTTCCGCGGGAACCTTCAATCAGCCTGTCAATTTCTACAGGGAAACCTGTGGGGATTTAATTTGCACCCCACAAACATGGTCTATCCTGCACTGAGGGCTTCTCTTCAGTGTCTCTCAGCAACGTTTTCCAGTTTTTCTGGCTGCAAGGCTTCAGGGTTACCAGATTCATCCCAGAGAAGTTCATATTTCCCTACAAGTGTAACTAGTGCTTTAGGTTTCGGCATCCGGACATGCGTGTCCGGCACGGAGATGGAACCGGTCTCGCATGCTAGATCCGTCCTGCAACCATCCTGTGGACTGTTGTGCCGCCCCTTTCATTTCTTTCTTTCTCAGCCAGGTATCTTTCCTCTCTCCAGCCTCAGGGCTCTGGCCATGGTGGCCGATACAATGTGACCAGGTCCAGAGACAATGACCTCAGAGGTACATCAGTCTTTGACCGGTGAGACGAGGCCAGACATGGATACTTTTTCTTAGGTGCCTTTATCAGGGGGAGAAATGTTGCTGCCTTTTCTAATCTGCTGAGAGCATTTTTTTTCAGGAGTAGACGGTGAATTTAGTGGGTTTGCTTTTCTGCAGTCATCAAACTTATGGTTGATTTTTCAATGCAAGTCTTATAATATGGTAGATTACATTGAATTTTAAATGCTCAGTGCATCTCGCATTCCTAGGATAAGCCCGCCCAGTCATGGTGTGTGATCCTTTTTAAATAATACATTTGATGTGCTAAAATTCTGTTTATACTTTTTGCATCCACCGTGTGAGGGGATAGGCTGCACTGTTCCTAGAGTGACTGCCTATGGTTATAGCACCAGCTCACGGCAAGTCTCGTAGAGAGATTTGGGAAATGTGTTAGTGTCCAAGGGGGAGAGAAATGTGAGCACACGAGCTTCACCATAAAGTGACTGGACCTCTGGATTGCTGGCTCTGCCTCCTCAAACCATGAGGGGGCCGCCTGTTTGCGCTGTGTTCCCCGTCCCTGTGCTGCGACCTACAAACTCTCCCCAGGTAATGAGCCGGGGCTGCTTCCTATACGACGGATCCCTGCCCTTCCTTGCTGGAGGCTGGACTCCCTGTAAGCTGCTGTCTCTGTTTCGAGTGATTTCCTGCAGAAGAGCAAACCCAAGCCCTGGCAGTCAGCGAGAAGCACTGAGCGCGCCCTGCCTCGTGTCCGGGTGCGGCACTCCACGCCTCGCTCAGCTCACACCAAGTCAATTCCATCAGAGCCTCACTGGGACCAAGAGTCTCCTGCAAGGAGCCCAGATGGCGTGCTCCCTGGTGCATGGGGCCGGGAGCTCAGGGATCACAGACATAAACACGGCGCTGCAGCGGGAGGTGGGGCAGCCGCTGAACCAGAACCAATGTGTGCGGCTCAGATCTGCTGGGCATGGCTGGCCCATCCTGCCTCTCTTCCCCTTTCGTGGAAGTTCAAGGGAGCCTATGCCTCAGGCGTTCACCCTCTGCCCCCAGGGTAAGGCCCCCTACTCAGAGGAGCCTGGGGGACTGCACCCTCCAGGGCTGGTCCAAGACAAGATCCTCCTTAAATTGGCTCCACCCCTTTTCAGGTTCTTCCCCCACGCATCACCCCAGGTCAGTCTATCCAGACGGAGGGAACCCGGGCTGGGACCATGGCACGATGCATCTAAGAGAAGGTGAGGCCAGTGGCCAGAGCGCCCACGCCCCCAGGCAGAGGTGTGCCGACTCCCTCATCCCCACTGCACAAGCACCGACGGAAGAGATGCTGTGTCGCCAGCACTCCGGCTAACAACCGGCCTTTGTCAAGCTTGCTTCCTAACAAGGGCTGCCAACGCACGGCTCGCTACGGTCAGGCGGTGCTGCACATCCAGACAAGCAAGGAAGCAAAACAAGCAGAGTCTGATCTCTAGAAGTATGGTCGAGGGGATCCTCCTGGAAGAGCAGAAAAATCAAGTGAGAACACTGGTCATGAGCAAACAGTGTCCGGGGGTGAGGTCCAGGTGCACCGGGCACATCCGGGAAACAGGGCGAGAGCTGGTGAGGGTGCCTGGGGATGGCAGCGAGGGGGCAGCGGGAGGGAGGGGGGAGGGAGCGAGCTGCGCAGAGTGCCTGGGCCTCCTGTGTAAGCATGCAGAGGGCGGCCAGAGCACAAGGGTGCTACTTGGAAGGGCCACCCTGGCTGCTCTGTGCGGGAGTAGGAAGAGACAGCGGACGGGAGGGTGCAAAGGGAGGCTTGTACGGTGGCAGAGCTGGGAGAGGCGGGTCAGCTCCGGGAACATTTCAAAGATGCAACCTGTGGGGCATCAGAGAGGAGTCGAGACGCCCTCTGGGTTTGGGTCAGGGCCCCTGACCAATGGAGTCAGTGTTCACGAAGTGGACGGCTTTCCTCTGCACACTCAGGAGAGCAAGAAACACAGGCGTTCTCGCAGCCTGTACAGGACTCCCTGGGGCTGGCTCACCAGCAGTGTGCTCAGCCCTCCCACCTGCAGGATACAGGTGTGGGTGCAGGCCTTGGCGCCCACAGGGGCCACTGGCACTGCATCCCAGAGAGGAGGGCATGGATAGGACCTGCCCTTGGGTCTCCACCTTTCCTCTCGCGGGCCCTGGGTACTGAAACCCAGCCCCCATCATGTAAAGGCAGGACCGGCCTCTCTGTCTCCCGTAGTCCAAGGCATCCTTCCCTGGCTTTATCAAAGAAATTCACTGCAGAGAGGGGGTTCATGGCACTGGCCAATCCTAGGGAGGTCGCGAGCACCCCGACCAACCCAGAACTTGGACAAGAACTAATCAAGCACGGTGAACCCCAACTTCAGCCTTCACCCCTAACTCCTCAGGGAGCCCAGGAATTAGGCAGGAGCCACTCAGCTCCTTGCTCTGCACTTTGCAAACAATAGCTACCGTCTTCCAGCACCCCGGTGTGGGGTGTGGGTGTCGGTGATCGGTGATCGGCTTTCCACGCGTCAGGTGGGCAGAGCCAGGCTTGAGATTTCGGTAGCAACACCTCCAGCTAGCTTGGGGTGCTGCTCGGCCACAGTTCTAACAGAGGGAGGAGCAGAGGCCCCTTTGTGGGACCCCGGTCACTTCTCCCTGCCTCTGTGACTCACCTCCTCCTCCTCCTTCCCCAGCCCTCCGGCAGCTTCCAGAACCTTCGGCTCATCGGCAGGCAGCTTGCCTGGCTCTGCTTCTGCCAACCCCACGTGTTACGCTGAGTATTTCAAAGTGTTCGAACCACGTTCTTGCAGCTCAGAAACTCTGCCACCTCTTGCAGTGAACAGTGAGTGATGATGACTCGGGGGTGGGGGCTTGGGGGGCGGGGGATGAGCTCAGGAAGGAGGGGTCCAGACTCAGATATCTGGAATTGGAGGGAGAAGTCAGTGTCTCAAAACATTATGTTATTATAAATAGAAACCATGGTTATGTTTTTTATGTGTGGACACAGTCTTACTAAGTTACTTTTTCCTCTCCTTTTATTAATAGGAAAAAACATTATGGGCAGAAGTATGATTAAGTCCTCAAATGTTAAGCAGCTCATAGAAAAGCTTTTTTTTTTTTAATGTGACAGTACTGTTTGTATTTGTTAAAGGTTTCATTTTATTTTTATTTGAAAGGCAGAGGGAGAGAGGAGGAGAGAGACAAAGAAATCTTTTACCTTCTATTTCACTCCTCAATTGCCTGCAACACCCAGGGCTGGGCCAGGCCAAAGCTGGGAGCCCGCAGCGTCACCTAGGAGTCCGAAGTGGCAGGCGGGTACTCAGGCTTTTGACCCATCAGATACTGCCTCGCAGGATGCACCAGCAATCAGGAGGGTGGATTGGAAGCAGCAGAGCCAAACTTGAACCAGGCATCCCAGCCTGGACTTAACCCGCTGAGCCACAATGCCTGCCCCTATTGTAACTATTTTATATTCAAATATAGTGAACCCTGAATCAAAATCTCAAAATTCAGCACAGAGGAAAATAAAGGAGGGAGGGTGCCGTGTTGACCCACCAGCGATATGTGACAAGCTCGCTTCTCTCGGCACCAGCACTACAGACCCTTGTCTACCTCTCTGCTTCTCCCTCCAGCTCTCCTGCTCTTCTGGCACGTACGCACCATTCATAGGACCACGACGTCTTCCTCAGAAAGAAATCAGGTGGTGAGAATAGGGTCAGAGGCCGATTTCCTGATTGACGAGCAGGTCTCTGATCCGCTCTTGACCCACTGCCGGTAAACTGTTGTTGGGAATGTTTCCCAGCCTCCTTTGCAGGAAAATGACGACTGTCCCTCCTGGTCTATTTCACGTTGTGCTATGGTACCCACCTGACAGAGCACAGGTAAAGATACTTGGGAAGCGGAGTATCGACGACTGATATTGTTATATTCCACAGTCTACTCCATACCCATCGTTATGCTCAATTATGAGCCACTACAAATGTACGAGTTATTATTTAAATTCCTGTTTTATACAGTCTTCTACACAGGGAGTGCAAGCCACAGCATGACTCAATGTATCTTATGCAATTGGCACATAAATTACCCAACACTTGGAAGAGAGACACTGAAGCTGCACTTAGAAAACCATGTTTGGGGGCATCATTTTTTTTTTCCTTTCAAAGAAGACATCTAAAATAGCCTTAGAAAACACCACAAGCCAGGAACAAAGAGAGGCAGGACAGTAATAAAATTGTCCCAGATTTGTTCTTAGAATTGTAATGTTACGTAGTGAAACCCCAAGTAGTGAATATATTTTCTCTAGCTATCTAAACTGCTATAAAGACACAGTGAAATATATCTTTATCTTGTTTGATAGCACTTGGTAAATATTGTTCACTTAACAGACGTTATAAATTACTCACCGCCACACAGCAAAAAGAGAGTCAGCCTTTACAACTATGGAGTAATCAAAAGGCTACATTTAAAAACTTGGAGACCACAGTCATAAATGTGATTTAACTGACGATTTTATGATACGCTCATGAACAAGTAAATCAGGCGCTTGGGTGTTTATCTCTGGTAACTTCTGGTTTCACAACCCAGCACTGGGAGTGCACAGTGATACAGTACAGTGGTCCTTAAGTCCAGAACTGAGACGTCACCCACAGCCACCCATCACAGAACCCATCATGGCTTCTTCACCTCCCGGAGCCAGTGAAGAGCGCTTCCTTACACTTGTACCTGAGTTATTTATTTTAAAGGGAGAAACGGGGCAGGATAGATTGAGAGAGAGAGAAATAGAGAGACAGACAGAGAGACAGACAGACAGACAAGACCAAATCTCCCATCTGCGGGTGAAGGAGCCCTTCTTAATGTTCTTTCATATTTCTGATCCCAGATATCAAGGGGGGTGAAGGGAGGAAAACACTTTAAGTACTGTGGATTGTAAGGTAAAAACCTTACTTATGTGAGAAAATTATTTTTAAAAAATGATTTTTCAGGGGCCGGTGCTATGATGTAATGGGTAAGGCCACCATCTGCAGTGCCAGCATCCCATATGGGCACCAGTTCGAGTCCAGGTTGTTCCATTTCTGATCCAGCTCTCTGCTGTGGCCTGGGAGAGCAGCAGAGGATGGCCCAAGTCCTTAGACCCTGGCACCCACATGGGAAGCTCCTGGCTTCTGGCTTCAGATTGACACAGCTCCAGCCATTGCAGCCATCTGGGAAGTGAACCAGCGATGGAAGATCTCTCTTTGTCTCTCTGCCTCTGCCTCTCTGAAACTCTGATTTTCAAATAAATAAGTCTTTTTTAAAAAAGATGATCCAGTTATTCATGGGGCACGTGTTATGGTGCAGCAGTTGAAGCCAGTGCCAGCGACGCCAGCGTTCTGTATCAGAGCGCCAGTTCAAGTCCCAGCTACTCCACTTCCCATCCAGCTCCCTGCTAATGCACTTGGGAAAGCAGCAGAAGGTGGCCCAAGTGTTTTGGCCCCTGCCACCCATCTTGGAGCCCCAGAGGGAGGTCCTGCTCTGGGCTTCAGCCTGGCACAGCCCCAGTTACTGTGGCTATCTGGGGAGTGAGCCAGAGGATGGAAGACCTCTCTTTCTCTCTGGTTCTCTTTCTCTCCATGTCACTTTGTTTTCAAATAAATAGATAAAATCTTTTCAAAAATTATTATACAGAAAAAAATGATCACAAGTTACTCATGGATGCAAAGCATGAGGTATATCTCAGCCTTCCTAAGGTTCTGCAATGAAATAAAAATAATTCAGTGTCCTGTGGAACATTCCTTATTCACAAAGGGCCGGGGATCTGGGGCCACACCGTCCCCGTCACAGCTACTGGCCTTTGCCACCTAATACAAAAGCAGCCAGGACCCACACAAGGGAGCAAGCATGCTGTCGAGCGGGAGCACGTGACTGCACTGGGATTCTCATCATGTGCACGAAGCCCTTGCGCGCGACCTTCACCCCCATCTAACCGAGCGGCAGCTGCTTCACGTAGCCCGTGGGCTGCACGAACACGGCAGGCACACAGGACTGGGCCCGAGGCAGGTTCCAGGACCTCGTGGAGAGCCCCATCCACACGGTTAGTGGTGATCCTTCCTGCGGTCTGTGGGCTCCCTCCACCTCACCCAATCTGGGGAAGAAAAGAAAACCTATCTCTCAGCTCTATTGTAAGCTCTGACCTTGGAATTATCGTCAAAGGCAGCTTAACCTGTACATAGAAACCACAGGACTCAGAACAACCCCATACTCCCAGATCTCTCTGTCTTCCTCCTCCCCACCCCAAACACACGCCCCGGGCCCTAGCATCCTGGGACCTGCTCTCGCTCACCACCACGCTGCTCTTTTGAGAACGGAACACGACCATGTGCAGTTTTCTGAGACGAGTTCTCTCATTAAGCGCAATGCCTTCCAAATGCACCCAACTTGCTGGATGCATCTCTTCCGTTTCATGCCTAAGACACTGAACAGTCGGGCTGCCACTCACCCGCTGAAGGCAGGGGGGTTGTTTCCGGTTGTCACGTATGATGAACGTTGCTATAAACATCACGTGTTCAGTTTACCTGGGGGTGGGACTGACGGACCACATGGTAACTACGCACGGTTTTCCAGGTACTTGTGCCATTGTGCATTCCAGTTACCCCACGTCCTTGCCAGCACTTGATATTGTGTTTCTTTTCCTTTTAGCCATTAAAACAGATGTGCCATTAAATTTTCCCAGTGGTGGATGGTGTTGTTTGTTTTCTTACTGCTGAGTTTGGAGAGTTTTTTTTTTTTTTTGTTTTTTAGGATTGATTGATTTGAGAGAGAGATCTGTCTTCCACTGGTATGCTCCCCAAGTGCCCACAATAGCCAAAGGTAGGGCAGGCTAGAGCTAGGAACAGGATCCTCCAGGGGTCCCAGAAGGGAGGCAGAAACTCCAGCACCTGGGCCATCAAATGCTGCCTCCATGCAGGTCAGCAGGAAGCCGGATCTGCCAGGACTCGCACCAGGCACCGTGACGTGCGATGCAAGGATCCCAAGTGGCATTTTAAGCTGTGGGGCCACAGTGACCACCCTGACACAAGCTGTTTGTTGGATATGTGATGAAAATATTTCACCCCAGTCTGTAGCTTATCTTTTCATTATTTAATACCATGCAGACACAGAGCAAATGTGCTCCGCCTTAATGCATTCCAATTTATTGGTTTCTTTTCTTCAATGGATCTGCTTTTAGTATCATATCTAGAAACTCTGTTTAAGCCCAGGGCACAAAGATTTGTCATGTTTTCTTCTAAAAAGTTTCTAGTTTCATGTTTTGTTCTGGACTGATGACCCGTTTGGAGTTAATTGTTGAATTCTAGGTGAGATTTCAATCAGGTCCTTTCTGTGGATGCCCAACGCCAGAAGACCACGCTTTGTCCAGATTCGCTTTGATGCCTTCGCCCCAACAAATCAGCCACAGCTGTGTGGCTCTGTGTGACCCTAGAAGCCGCATTGGATCCAAGGGCCTATCCCTACTGCGCTGTCCCAGAGTCGGTCTTAAAACGGGGTAGTTTGAGTCTTCTGGCCTCAGTTCTCCGAGATTTTGCCCCTTTCTTTGATTCTGACTCTGTCAGGTTCAGACTGGATCACTTCAACCATCGTCAAGTTCCCCGAGTTCTCCACTGTCTCCCTTCTGCCACCAGCGACTTTGTGTTGTCGGCTAATGAATTTTTCTGTTATGAATTTGTCATTGGTTCTTATTTTTACCTCGTGTTTAATTATTCAGACTGTCTGCATTTCCATTCCTTTTGAGGATGTGTCCCTTACGTATTTGACCACTTTTAGAACATGAAAGCTCTTCAAAATGCATATTATGAAAAACTATGCATGGGCAGCCAAGGTTTTTCACCAAAGCAAATCCATCGTTTCACTTCATTCCCCATGAACTTCCTGCAGTAGCTTCCTAGTTGCTTCCAAGTGGACTTCAGGTTGTTCTCACATCCATGACATTTTGCGTGGGCATTTGTTGATTGTCTTTTCTTCTGTGGGTTGAAATTATCCTGGCTGTGTCTATGCCAAGTAATTCTGAATTGTATCCTGTACATTCTGAGTGTTACATTATAAGATTACAGATCTTAAATCCTATGAAAAATGGTAGCAGGTTTTGTTTTTGTAGGCAACCAGCTTGCTTAGGGTCAGCTCTCAAGTTATGGGCAGGTTTCTGCAGGTTCTGGTTTCAATTTCAGTTCTATTTGCAAAGTCTTTGTAACGCTATTTGGCTCTGGCTCCCGAATCTGCTACCCAGGGGCCGGTCTGGGATGTGAATGGTGATCTATCTTGTAATTCAGTATTCAGAATCTATAGTCTACTATTTAGGGTTAAATGTAGGGATGTGTGGCTTGGATGTGGTCCCAGGAGTTTGTAAACAATGTTATGGTGTCACTTTTCCAAGCTTCGCCCCCTCTGAGGTCGCCTTAAACCTCTGTGGCTCCCTCGATCTGCCCTCTTGGATCCTGTCCTCCGAAAACCAGGGCTGGATTTACTCTGCCCTGAATCTCTTGTGACTGTCTGAGCTGGGGTCCAGCAGCAAGAAGACAAAGGGGACAAGGAAACCAACAGACTTCCCCTACTCCCTTGAGACCAGTGAGAGAACCCCCTCACCCAGAGTTCCAGTGGGAAGCTGCACAGTGGGAAGTCTCTGGGGCTCAGCCTCATGGGTCTCTCTGCCTGTAAGATTCTCCAGCAAACCCAAGGGTGGTCCCAGGCATCCCAGAACACGCACTTGGAGTCAGAAGTGAGGGAGGGTGCTCTAGGCTGAATGATGTGTGTTCCATCTCACAAAGTCCTCCGCCGAAATCCTAGTGTCCAGCCGGGTGGTGGATGGAGGTGAGACGCCACAGGTGATCGGTTAGCGGGGTTGGGCTTGCACCTGGGCCAAGAGCAGCT